TATGCCGTTAATCATTTCAGTTAATTTTGATATTAATCACAAATAACTTCAAATTTTTAATCACAAGTAATGTTATACCAACTCATTAAAATTCCCAATCATAAAATATTGCATGTGTCACACAATACTAAATAAAAGTACAGAATTTAAATAAACAATTTATTTAAACCATGGTATGAAAAAATAACTTAGATACAAGAATTAAACCATAAATACACACATGCACAAATTTTTGATTTACAAAATTAGACTAGCATAATATTAAAGTGGTGATTTTATCCTGTCCAGAAAAACTTTCAGAGGATATATCTTGCAAATAAAATTATAAATACATTACTTATACAACTCTAAAATTCATATCAATCTACAGGATACTCAATAAACATGTTATGGTTATTTTTCAGAAAGTATTTTCCAAAAATAACTTATAAATAATTCTAAACAAATTCCAAGGGTGTTTATGACACAGATTTGTCACATTTTCTTACATTAATTCCATGCTTAAATTTATAGATCAAACCCATAATCTAAAAATTTATCATGAAACTAGACTTCTCAAATTTTATATTTTAGTGGAAATTACTAGATTTGGCTTAGTATAGAATTTTAAATAAATTTTCAAATACATGGTAAAATCTGTCTTACAGTTTCAGATTTAGTTAGAAATTTATAATAATTCGTAGAAAGCTCAAAAATTGTTACCAAAATTCCTGGACGAACTAGACATCATTATCAACAACTTTGTAGAAGAAATTATCTCGAAAGTTTGAGTATAAAATTGTCTAAAAATTCGAGTGACATTCTGGCAGATTCAAAATAGACTATTTTCATCACAGTTTCAGATTTAGTTAAAATTTTGTATAAATTCGTAGAAAGCTCAAAAATTGTTACCAAATTTTTTTGGATAAACTAGACATCATTATCAACAACTTTGTAGAAGAAATCATCTCGAAATTTTGAGTAGAAAATTATCTAAAAATTCGGGTAACATGCTGGCAGATTCAAAACAGATTATCCTCAACACAATTTAGACAATGTATCATATGTATACAATCTGAAAATTTCAATTATGTAAAAAAAATGATAGGATTGAGAGGGTCTTCTTACCTAGTAGTAGGATTGAAATGGGTGATGAAATGATAGAAGAATTTGTTTCCTAAACCTTCTTCTCTTCTTCTCCTTCTGCTGAATTCTTCTTCCCTATTTCTTCCTCACCCGTCAAAAGGAATACATGCATGCAAACACTGAAACCTACCCTTCTATGCATGACTATTACGTGCATTATATAGACCTCTGAGGCTAGCTCTCTCTCTCTCTCTCTCTCTCTCCCTTTCTCTCTCTCTCTCTCTCTGCCATTACCTTTCTCCAAGTTCTAAGAATAAGCTTTCCCTAAATTTTATGGTTTCCTAAATTCTAAGAGATGGTGGGTTTGGTAGGAACTGTGGGTTGTTTGCCCACGGTTTGTCTGTTTGTATACATATATATATTTTTTATTTTATTTATTTATTTATTTTTTTAACAATAATTATTGAACATCCATAACATTTTTATTCTTAATAGGGTCTTTGTTAGCGATAGAATTGGGTTAATTTAAAAAAACTAATAATTTAATTAATTTATTTATTTTCTTTCAAGAATAATTTAAATATGGGTTTTCACACATACTATAGGCAGTGTGTTTATAATACCAGTCAAATTCATTTAGAGAAATTTGCCACTAGCAAAGAAAATTCTCTGTGTATTGTGTTTGTTGAAACATACTATAGGTAGAGAAATTTGTCAATAGCAGAGAAAATTATTGTGCAATTTGTGTGCTTTTTGAATTTGATGATTGTTTTGTGCCAACACAATGCATTACAGATTACATGATCATATAAACATCCTCTTGGCACGATACGAGTTAAAAAATATATATTTAAACATTGATATCTATGAAATTTACATTAGTCAAAAAAAGATATATACATATATGTCAAACATCACCATTCCTTCAATGTATGAAAAAATAAATTGAAGGGTTATTCCTAATTACATTGTGTGCATTGTCTTCCTTTCACTAGTGTGCTTTCACTATTATACTTTTGGTTCTTCTTCTGGTAGTATTTGAATTGGTTCTGTCCATGACCGGCCAATTTCGATTGCAAATCTCTCTATGATTTCTGCCCTCATCAACCTTACGTCTTGTGTCGACAATTTCGAACTGATAGGTTCATAGTTGCTATATTGTCTCATTATATAGCATACAAAGAGGTCACAATCCACACTGCATACAAATTATAGATATAGTTAGTTTTAAGAAACATTCAAATTAGATTATCTTA